GCCAGCTCAGCCCACCAGAGGGCGGGGCTGGCTGGCATGTGGTGCTGGGGATCGAACCGCGGTCCCTGTGCTTTGCCAAGCTTGTTTCAAGTAGGTGCTTTAGACCACTGAGCCATCTCTCCAGCCCCGAAAGTCTTTACTTACATATACAGCATCAGTGTTTCCCATGAAACCCCTTGGCTTCAAGTAGGGAAGGGCAAGAAGTGCCCTCTTATTTTTTAATTACAAGGGAAATACATGTTCTTGGAGAATTTGTTTTTGCTTTGGTATTTAAATTATTCAGACAATTCTACAAGCACAAACCTCCCACAAAACGAAAGACAGGATTCTTTAGGTCTAAAAGGGAAAATAAACTTAAATTTTAAGTTTAATGCCTTTTCAAAACTTCTGGAGAAACAGTGGGAGCTGAGAGTAGGTCATCAGAAAGCTTTAGGGGTTGAAACGCAGACTTCCACAAAACACACCGCTCCTTCTCACGCTCAGGGCATAGGCACTGCGGCCATGACTCAGGAGCCAGCATCTGCAGCCTCAGGCGTGCCTCTGCCTGCTGCTGCTGCAGTCACTGCCCACCTCCATGATTCACAGATGTTCCTTGGGGAAAATGAGCAGAGCCCTGGCTCTTAACTCACCACTGCACACATCCTGCCTAATACTGAGATGCAGTTTACACCCGTGGCTGCTATCATAAGAGTCATTTTATTTACTTTCAGAAATCCCAACAGGGCTGGACCTGCCCGGGTAGGGAGACTCTCACAATGTGGATGCAGCTCCTTGAGAGGAGCCATTCCAGTCTGTTGACAGCTCCCCAGTGGTGGCAGTAAGGCAAGGGCTCATGGTGAGCCTGACACAGTGTCACTCAGGGAGAGGATCATGAAGACCTAGTGTCACTATGAGGATGGGGGACACTGGGCAGGGAACTGGAGTAGGCCCAAAGATAGGTCTTCGTGCGTGGTCCCTGTCATGTAGCAAGTACTTGCTGGGCAAGTTTAAAAACATGCACAGAATCACTGGACACACAGACTGCTCATAGCTACAAATCCCTCCAGGACAGTCTGAGGGATATGCTCTCCCTGGGGTTTAAGCTATCAAGAGCAAAGGCAGCAGAAGGGTGAGGACATGACCTAAGTTCAGCTCGTCATGGTGGTAAGCATGATTTTGCTGAAGTAGAATTTCTGGCCAGATACTTAGCTCAGTGTGAACATAAAACTCTGGGAAGATAAAGGAAACAGGAAGGCACACACAGCACTGACCTTTCACCCACACTTGGGCATCTCCAGGGCCTTTGGCTGTGCTGTGCGCACAGCTCATGGCTATCCAGAAGACCTTCATAGGACCTAGAGTTCCACCGACTGCAAAGAACTCCAGGAAGTAACCCTAGGGCGAGTCTTCCTTGTAGGCCACTGGCTACATGTCTGGGAGCATTTCAGAAACATGCCGGTTAGTTTTGAATCAGGGCTCTGGACCTACTTGTGGGTAATGGTATTATCACCTGATTACTGAGAAACCCAATGTCATGTGATCAATGAGAAGAGACGACAAATACCTAGAACTTATGTTTACAAAACAAATGTTTGAGTTATTTATCTGTCAGGGAATCAAAAGCACTGCAGAGTCCTGGAGGGAACAGCTTCCTGGCTGCCACTCCAGAGCCACAGAGCAGATCTCCAAGGGCAGCCTAGGCATCTCAGTCTGGATGGTCTCTCCAGCAGAGAGTTCTGCATGGAAATTTCACTCGACATGATATAAAAACAAAAACAAAAACATATCTGTAAGCAACTTGTACTAGGATGGTGGGAAGCTGGGTGTTAATAACTGGTTACATGGAAATCCTGACCATGCTGTCCTGAGTATTTTAATCTTCATTTCATTGTTCACTCAGGCTTTTGGTCTCCAAATGAACATTTCACCATTGTTTAAAAACAGTAGTGTGGTGCTGGCCAGATAGCTCAGCAGACTAAAGCACGTGCTTAGGCAGATGCAGGGACCAGGGTTCAATCCCTGGTGTGCCATGCGGGCTCCGCCCCCAGGGCGTGCTGAGACAGCAACTGAGACCGGGCTTGGTGGCATGAGCCTGTAATCTCAGCATTTGGGAGGCTGAAAACAGGAGAATCACTATGAGTCCGATCTGTGTAGTGAGACCCTATAGATCTTGTAGTAAATACATAAAAAAAACAACAGTGGTGTCTCTGGGTGTGGTAGCCTATGACCCTGACACTTGGGAGGCTGAGGCAGGAGGATCCCTGTGAGTTTGAGGCTAGCCTGCGCTACATTGTACTATGTAGCAAGACACTGTCTTAAAAAGCAAAAACAAAACAAAAAACAGTAGTGTCTAGTTTCCAACATGCCTGGTCTGCATAAGTCCCATTGTAGATGTGGCTCCTACAGGGATCCAGAGGTGAGTTTACACATTTGTGCATTTAGATTTTCTCATATTTACTAACACAGAAAGTGACTGTGAACTCTGACATCTGAACAGCTGTGGCTTCGAGACTCAGTCCCTTCCTTGTTCTCTTAAAACCTTAGCAGCAATAGGAGCATGAGGTGAAACTTGCTGAGGCCACAAGTAATTCTTCAGGTCATCATTCTCTTCCTACCTTACTTCTGTATAGCTTGAGATTACCCATAAGGAAAAGTAACAGCACAATGCAAACAAACATGAAATTAGGCTGTAGCTGTTGGGCTGTAAGGGTTCTCTCTTACATAGCTGGTAGCAACTCCTATATAGTATTTGAATGGAGAATTCTAAGAAGTATTCTATAATAATGCTTTTAAAAAAAAACGTATTTAGTACAGGGTCTACAGGGACTCACTACACAGACTGGACTCATAGTGATCCTCCTGTTTTCAGCCTCCCCAGGTATGATTACAGGCATGCGCTACCATGCCTAGTCTCAGTGCACCCCGGGGGCAGGGCTGGGGCTGGCATGGCACACCAGGGATCGAACCCCGGTCCCTGCATCTGCCTAAGCAGGTGCTTTAACTTGCTGAGCTATCTAGCTGGCCCATAAGGCTGTTTTTAACTCTGCTGAACAAATCTGGCTCCACAGTTAACCTAAAGTAGGCTAATTTCTCCATAAAATGAAATATGATCTCCTTAATTCCTAGAGTACAAAGTAAGGCATTTCTTGAAATTAAAATGGGGACAAAAAAGGATTTCCTTAATGTTTATGCTTCCAAATCTTTTATGAACAGTGTTTAATGTTAAACATGCATGTGTGCACCCATGTGTGTGCAGGCATGCACAAGCACACACAGGCACACACACAGACACACACACACACACACGCATGCACACATGCCATGCCATCCCAATTCTAGGTCTCCGCAGAAGGTTCAACCTGGTCTCTGTCACTCTGGCTGTGGTGTGTCTCCAGGCTGATGGCTGTGCACACACTAAGGTGTATGTCACAGATACCCCTCTGCTGAGGATTCTGGGGCTCATTCAGAATGGGTGAAGCCACCCGCTTGAAGGGTGTAACTTACTAACATGGCAGGTGCTACACAAGGGTCTTAGTTTCTTAAAGTGGGGGTGGCCATGGGTTTTGCTGGCTCACAGCTATAAACTTAATGAACGGTCCAGAAGGATACAGGGTTGTGGGGGCTGTGGCTGGCATCTCTATTATAGAGCAGGGAGAAATGGTTTTTGTCTGTCACAGAATAGAAAGATTCCTAAGAGGAACTATTTAACACCCTATGGGTTGATCTATGGCAATAAATTTATAGCTATAAAATTAATGTTAGGCACTAGGACTCTAGTGTTAAATAATTCAAGTGGAGTTCAGTAAAGGTACATATATAAAAGCCACTGAAAAATAAGCTCAAATAGCAGAAATCTGATTCTCCATGACTGAACTATTCAGGAAGCTAAATTAACTGTGGGCCTCCAGCTGCAGGTGAGGGCGAGAGGCTGTCTTGTACCTTTAAGAGCAAAGAAGAGGCCATCAGACACCTCTGCACACCAAAGACCTGTGACAAGGGATGTAAACTGGCCAGTTTCTGCTTTCTTTCAAAATAAATTCTAAAAATTTAAGCCATTCATCAATGTCCACATAAAGCTGTGAAAATGACTGAAATGCAAATGATTCTTTAAAATTCAACCCTGAGCCAAGGATACAGCTTGGTGACACAGCACCTGCCTGGCAAGTGCAAGGTCCTGAGTTCAATTCCTGGTACAAAACAAAAACAAAAACAAAACAAAACAAAACAAAAAATCCAACCCTAAAATTTTGTACCCAATATGGGAGAGACTACTTACAGCCTGAAAGAGTATTGGTAAATGGCATGAAGCAGTACTGGATCATTTATGGTGTTTTTTTTTTTTTTTTTTTTTTTTTTTTGGGCAGTGCTAGGGATCAAACCCACAAGTTTATAGAACATTAAACTGACTGGCTGTATGCACAGGCTGGAGACACATGAAAGTAGATCATGTGGTGCCCATGCAGTACAAATGGGCAGCTGAGCACTCCACTGAGGGCAAATCAGGGCAGGACTGAGCCACCCAGACTGGTCCAAATTGTCAACAGTAAGCCCAACATTTTACTGTTAAGCTGGATGTTCTATTGGACACAGAGGGCAGGGAAATATCTCTGGACCAACAAGTCTATGCTTGTAAGACAGTGTAGCATACATGTAACACCTCTTGAGTTTAAAACTCAGTACTTATTCCTGTGTTATTCTTTTGCTGCTTTAAAGAGAAAGATGCGCCTGATTACTACTGCACTTAAAAACTAGGGGAATAAAAACCCTCTGTCACTATAACTTATGATACTACCAGGAGCCGAAGAAATAACATTTACAGTCAATGTGGTGATTTTAATCAGTCAGGGAAAAGGCATAATCAGACTAACACTAAATAATTCCAGTGAAGGGACTAACACTATGCAAACAGGATGTCACCAGAGGGAGACTGTTGCAAGGACTTCGGGCTCAATGGGAGGCCAGAACCAACCAATGACAGTACCAGGGTAGGGTGCAAAGGACCAGGACTGAAAACTATAGCTCCAGGGTCCTTCAGCCACAGACAGCTCTTCAGTGCAATGGAGTCAGAGGAAGGTAAAAAATACTTCTTCACCAAGCAGATATAAGATATGGTAATATCTTCTCACAACCTTCCTGCAAGCTGGAAACTTTATTAACTTAGAAAAAAATTAAAAATGTTATGTAAATTACTTCTAGTTCCATCAGTAAAAGCTGACTATAAAGGCAAATTGTGCCTTTGATAAACAAGTAGAAAACCAGAAAAAACATATGAAGCAAATATTTTCAGACAGTGGATGTTGAGTACTCAGGATTGGGATACCTAAGAGACAGAAATAAACAACTGACTGAGCTTATAGTCTGCAGCTGAGAGAAGCAGAACCCAGATAAAGCTGGCACTTTCATGCAGAGAAGACAGGGCCAGCTCCAGGGAGACCAAGGGAGATGGGAACTGCAGGGTGGAGCTGAGGGGAGGAAAAGCTCCAAAGTCTTCAAGGGATGTCCCATGTGTCTCCGACTGATTACTTTCTGCTCATAGGTGAGGGAAGATTGGAGAAAGATCTAAAGGGTGTTGGGCCAAATTCTCAGAGTTCACAGAAAGGACTGGGAAGATCTTATAGTCCCCAAAGAAAAGTCTTACACTTGTGTTTAGAAATTAGGATAAGAAGACAAATGAAATCCAAAGTAAGCATCAGGAGGACGAAATAAAAAAAGTAAAAGCAGCTGTCAATAAAATGAAAAATTTAAAAACAATAGAGAAAAGTCTAATGAAACCAAAAGCTGATTCTCTGAAGTCTCTATTAGGCCAGAAGGTTCAAGGATGGGAAAAGATGTCAACATCAATATCAGACAAGGAGGCAGGGGTATCACTACAGATCACACAGACATGAAGATGATCAGGAAATATAACAAAGCTGACAACTACAGCTACATATAAACACATTTCAAGGTATATTACTAATACCTAGATTTAAGATGTTTATGAAAGATCAACTTATTTATGTATTTTTAAAAACCATGCTACAGACCTAGAGATTTTTGCTTGAATATTCATGACTGAAAATCAGAAACTTGAGAGCTTCAACAAAACATCCCATCACACCTACCTTGTAGGCAATGCTGTTGAGTACTTTCATGGCCAAATCAGAAACATCTGGATACGGGTCAGCAGCCAGATGCAATAAAACTCTCCAAATTTGGGTATAAACACTATTAAAAGAAACTCCTAGAAAAAAGAAATGGGAGATGTTTCAGTAGCAAATAGTTGCTGCTGCATATATTGGTGTAGCTTGAGTTCCTCAAAACCTTATCATGGTAGCAGGAAGGGGAGCTTCAAACATCTGGAGTTAATGATCTGGTATACAGATTCAGGAATCCTAGCAGTATCTCAGGCTTGATCACACTGGTCTCATCTTCTGAGGTCTTTCTAAAAAGGAAAACTGGGATAGGAAAGAATAGAATTTGCATTTGGGATGTTCTAGTTGACTGAAGAGCACTACAGTTACCAAGTAGCATTTGATTTTATGGTCTAGATTCTCAGATGCAATTGTTTTTGCAGCCTACTTGACAGTCAGTGCATGCCCTGTGTGCTGTGACTTGCTGGGATCCTTTTGCCCCTCTCACATGCTGGCACTGTTCTGGAGTCCCAGGAAATCAGAAGGTGTATGCAACATGATCTCCCACTTCATCCCAAGCATGACTAAGGGTGTACTTGTTTTTTTTTTTTTTTTTTTTTTTTTGCGGAACCGGGGATTGAACTCAGTCCCTTGCGCTTGCCAGGGAAGCGCTTATTCCACTGAGCCATCTCCCCAGCCCCTCGGATGTACTTGACACAGATCTTATGTATGCTGCATGTCCAGAAGCAGAGGCAGGTAACACAAGAGGCATGAGGGGCTCACACATATCAGCATATCTTACTACAGATATGAGGAAAGAAAAGAGACACTTTCCATGGGCCTAGGGAAAACTGTTCAGTCCTTTTTAATTCTGAAGTAATCCTGAAGGCAGGAAATGCTCTGGCATGAAAGGAAGAGGTAAGGTCCAGTGAGCATTTCTGCTGAGGTCTAAAGTGAAGGATAGGAACTTGTCCGTCTTAGATTTTCAAGCAAGCCAGACATTTCCAGGATGTGGTACTGCCCTAGGGAGATGCTGACATGGACAAGAGATTCATTCCACCAGGAACAGGGCTAGGAAGAGGCTTAATGAAATAGACTTTAGAATCTCTCTCTCTCTCTCTCTCTCTCTCTCTCTCTCTCTCTCTCTCTCTGCCTCTCTCTCTGCCTCTCTGTCTCTCTGTCTCTGTCTCAATCTTTCTCTGTACTTGGAATCAAATTCAGGACCTTGTACTTGCCAGGTAGGCACTATGCAACTGAGTTATATCCCTGGTCTAGGGGTTGGGCTTTGAAGAGGATTAAGGATTGTTCTCCTAGAGAAGGAGGGGTGGAAGGAAGAACGGTGGCAACACAAGCAAGATCTGAAACCTGGAGGGGATAGAGACACTTGGAGCCTCTGGAGAACCATGGCTGAAGCTCACGAGCCAATCAAAAAGTGTGAGGGTAGCACACTCAGAAACTCAAAAGAGGGATCTGGCTACAGGTCTGAGGGATCTCAGACATGTGTCAGATTGGCTGAAGCTAGGAAGGAGATTGGAAACAGCAGGGGCTACAGAGCTAAAGGGGCTAAACCACACTGGATAGGAGGCAAAGAAGGTGATTAAATGACTCTAGAAGAGGATGTGGTTTGAGCAAAGGTTGCTCAGAAAATGAGGGGAGCTGGATGTAGAAAAGCAGAAAAGGCACCAGCAGTTCTTGCTCAAGGTGTAGCCCGCTGGACACTTCATGAGGGGAGGAAGAGACAGCCTGCTTGGAGTCAGGTAGAGATAGCTACACAGAGCTCCATCCTTTTTATTTTGGAGGAAAAATGGACAATGTACTGAAAAGCCTTTGCTTATTCAACACAGAGACTAAAAGGGTACTTCAAATAAACTTCAAACTTGTGCCACTTCCTTACCCACTTAAGACAGAGTCTGACTACTGGCAATGCTGCCAGAGGACACAGTGCCTCTGGATAAGTACAGTATTAGAAGAACAAGTTTAAGGTGACACAGGTAGGTCCACAAACAAATTGGAGGAAGACAAGGTCAATGAGGTGCATGAGCTTTATGCGGATGCGTATCTTCACCTGTTACTTGCCTTTTCACTGGCAGATATGAGTGCAGCATCAAGAGGGCTGCTCCCCTGTCTCCCAGCACATAGCCTCCCCATAAAGTAAGCAGGAAGAAGATACATTCTGATGTGCGTTTACACAAGCCCTCTTACTGCTTCACTATTCTGCTGAGTGGGAATCAACACATGCTGTCCTCTGAGAAGCTCATCCCCTTGGCCTCTCTTGAGACATGGCTGCCTGCGCACTGTGGATTACCCACAGCATAAGACCTAAGAGGGGTGTTTCCCTGGGGTGGCAGCTCATGGCTACACTGAGGATTTTGCAAGTGGGCAACATGTGTTCACTTGTAAGCATGCTCAGCAGTGTCAAAGCCTTTCTGTGTGTCAAAGACTCACATAAACCCACTCTCCCACTGAACTTGGGTGGGATGAATGGTACAAAGTCCCTTGCCAACATGGAGGAGGCCCTGCAGCAGTGTGACAATGTTGGTGGAAACTGCAGCCATTCACCTGCTGCTCTCTGTATGGCTGTAACTCTAAAACACAACAGAAACCCCTCAACTCAAATTCCATACCTCTAAATAGCTGTCTACATTTTCAACCAAAGTCTAAGTAAATTATCCGGTAAAATCAGAGCAGAATCTCTGTGGAAAAATGTCCTCAGATCTAATTTATTTCCTGCCCTAGCAGACGCCTGTTCATAGGAACTGTGCTCGATGTTATGGGGACCAGCAGGCAGAAGGAAGCTGCTTTGAATACACTCGAGACAGGCTCCTGATTCACAAACAACAAGAAGGAAAAGGTGTCCTGTGTTTCCGTAAGTAGCCTCACTCATCAAGAAAGGGAGAACCAGCCACTCAGTGGAGCTGGGGCTCCCTCACCACCACACAACAGGAAGGTCTCAGATGCCCTAGCTCATCACCATCCCTATTCAGCGAACATCCTTTCCCCTCATTATTTTTGGGCTTACAGGTGAATCTGGCTTGGTGACTCATCGGAAGCAGCTTCCCCAGAAGCTCAGTTGTGGTGTGACACTGAGCGTGAGAGGACTATGAGGTAGTAAGTCTCAGTTTGACTCAGATGCTGGGCCCTCATCACAGGGGAGGAGGAAATGAGGTGGGAGGGGAGTGGTACAGGGTCAAGTCCTGGAGGACTCTTCTCATCAGGGCCCCTATCTATCTAATAACCCTACACACAAAGGAGCTCCTGAATGAGATAAGAGCCTCAGGCACAAATGCAGGGCAGGCAGATGCCTCCCCCCTTGGGAGCCATGTGAACCAAGGCACCAGGCTTCAGGTAGGGGTGACAGGTACACATCTTCATGGGAAGTGCTCTGGAAGAAGGGCTGGCCCTGTGTAGGGCACAGAGGAAGTGGTATGCATACTGGCCATTATGGTTTAGTTTTTAAATTTTTGTTTTTACTACTGTATCGACTTTCTTGCACATCATGACTTTGATGTAACATTGTGATTCTGTAGGGAATTTAAAAAATCTAATTTTTGGCAGTCTCTTTGACTTTAATGGATAGTACAATTACCAGTAAAAAGCATGAAACTACAATAAAGAAGACCAGAGATATAGTTTAGTGGCACAGTGCCTGCCTGGCAAGTGCAAGGTCCTGAGTTCAATCCCTAGTAACAAAAAAACAAAAGATAAAAAACAAAACAACAAAATGATAAAGAATTGCTACCTTCTTCCCTCAGTTTGATTGCAACAGTGATTTTCTCAGGATGCCACTTTATGGACTGTTCTGCTTATGAGTCTGCTGTTTTCAAGTCAGAATGCAGCCATCTCCACACACAGATGAGAGTCCACTGGGATGGAGGCAGAGACACTTGAGTCCTGCCCCCCTCGGGAGGTAGGAGCAGGGTTGGGCTAAGTGCCAAGTCTGTATCATGTCTAGACTAGAAGTAATAAAAGACCAAGATGAATGGGTCTAGAACTTATTTTCAGAGCAAAGGCCATAACTTTCTGAGAAGCAAAAGCTGCAGGACATTTCTCAAGATCTGTGCACAGGCCCAAACTATGGATCCTTGCTGGCAGAGCAGCTGTGGAGAGGAAGCCTGGCTGGTGGGCGGGGCTGCAGGCTCCATCCTCTGGGGATGTGCATGGCTGACAGCCTTCTGTCTTCTTCAGAAGACAGTTTCTGGGGTTCTGCAATTGTTCCTTCCTGTGACACCTTCCTGTCTCTGGTGCTCCACTGACTCCTGGGTGGCCACAGGCGATACACACATCTCAGCACAGTTATTTTTTTATTTTATTTTACTTTACTTTATTTTATTTTTTGCTCCGAATGCCCTCAGGGGTGGTTTGGCTGGCTGGAGTGTTGTGGGGATCGAACTACAGCAACCTGAGGCTGAAAGCTTTGCTGAAGCAGCCACTTAAAGAACTGAGCTAGGGCCAGGCCCTTATTTATTTATTTATTTATTTATTTATTTATTTATTTAACAAAGAGCAATGAGACAGTTTCAAAATTGATTAGGACTTAGCACAGTTTAGATGATCATGCTGGCCCACTTCTCCACGATCCCTTCTTCCTATGCAGGCTGGAACAGTGATCTCATTTGTTCCCAGGAGGGATAGGGCATGTCCTGGTGTAGGCAGCTAGTGCATCTGAACAAAGTGGTATTCCTCAGTTTCCCTAAATGAAACATTCAGTAACGGTCTTTAATTGGGGACTTTGGTTTTAAAAACAGTTACTGTCATGGCATTGGAGACAATGCCATTCACTTTCTTGTTACTTTTTTTTTGAGACAGGGTCTTATCATGTAGTTCAGGCTGGCTTGAATGTATAACAATCCTCCTGCCTCAGCCTACTGAAGTGCTGGAATTACAGGTATGTGCCACCACATCCAGCTCTTACTACCTGTTCAAGCAAGAAGAAACAAACCTATGGGACCTCTGATCAGAATGTGTGTGGCTCCTTGGCCACCAACCTGCTTAGCTTTCTTCTTATTGACCAACCATTGGGATTTCTATGAGCAAAGGCAGAAACTGATCCCCTCTACACTGAGACGCAGATAGAGGTCTCGCCAGGCACACTGCTGTGGGCCATGGGCCT